ATGTGTTGGCCTTAGATTGGTGCACATATAACCATTGATTATTGACAAGTGTAGGCTTGAGATTAAGCCTAAGGATAGAGCCTTTGATTTGTGACAAGTGTAGGATCAAGATTTAGTCTTGCAAGTGTGTGTGTGAGAGCTAGTGTAACAGCACATAGTGAGTGGAGGATCTCTAGCCCTTCCTTCCACTCACCATTTTTCACTTATCCTCTTCATTTTTCTTAGTTCTTCAAAGTTCTAACCTAGCCACCATTGGGGAAAAGCTTTGTTAATAGCTTTCTTCTTCAATTTTGGTGCCCTTCCATTTATCTTAGACTAAGAACCTTAACTAGTAAAAGTTTCCTCTCATTCTCCTCTTCATTAACCCTAAGCTTGTTTTCCATTTAGTGCTTGGTTGCTTGGATTATAGAGATTCAATTCTCTATTGAGGTAGGGGTGGTAGTATGTTTATATTTTAAGTGTTTTATAATCCTTTAGGGTTTAATATATATTGTGTACATGCTTCTAATATGATAGTCTTGCATATTATAGGAAATTCTTATAATTGACTTAGTGTTTATTTGATCTAAGCATGTATATTGTGTATGTATCTTGTGTAGAATTATTGATGTTGTATATAACTCATATTGATTTGAATTACTATACTATTATGATGATAATTCTACATTCAAGTTGATTACTATTGGTGATTGTAATTATTTTAGAAGCTTAATACTATAAATGTTGTAATCTGGTATATAAAGCTTATTGTTGAGACATGGTTTAAATTGATGAGTTTGTGGTATTATATTGCACATTATATCATGTTAAGAACTTATCATTTATTATGCCATTTTAGATTTGGAACCCTAAGACATGGTTTGTGTGGTTTCAAAGATACTTGTGCATGGAAGGTGGTTTACATGCTTTAAATTATGATATATAAGTTTTGAACTTGATATATTTTGGATTCTCTTGGGACATTGTGTTACAAGTGACATGGCTAAAGTTTGGCTTTAGTGCGGGAGGTATGAGTTCTCCCCAATTGAGATAGTGTGCACTAGGGTAGTCTTCGCAACGAGTTAATGCCCAGAATAACCATATTGATCTTGGTTTAGTCCAATACGAGATGTCCAAGTTTTCCATTATATAATTTCGCATTAAATTTCAAGTTGACAACCAATGTTTAATTGTAACTTGTAATTTTTGGTTGATTGCGAATTGATGTTGTTAAGTACATTGACATTGTTATGTGTTGTTTAAGAATCATTTAAGTTAGCTTAAGATGATCCCTTAACACACCTTGAACATAGACGTTAAGTGGAATGCTCCCTTGTATTCGTCTATATCGATCTCGCAATGATATTGAAACTTTAGGGTATACGCATATGCTTCTCCTACGAGTAACTTGATTACTCACCCTAGTGATTTGAGTTATTTTTCAGGTAAAGAGACCATGTTCATGGATGCTCATCATCCTTAGAAGCTTTTGAGCTAGTTGAAGCATTTTTGTATATTAGCATGCACTTGTTTAGCATGTTTTATCTTTTGGATGTAATACTTTTGTATACCATGGATGTATGGTATTTTAGAAGCTAAGATGGCTTCCTTCATGTATTGTGTATCTAAGTACTCTTTTTGATGCTTGTTTTGTATGTGTAGCATGAGGCCAAGAACCATTAACAAGAAAGATTACAAGCATGTTCTCTTTAAAACTCAAGTATTGCCATTGTAGCTTATTTGTGAGAAATGTAGGCTTTGTATGCTAAACTTGTTAATGGAATGTAAAGAGGATTTAGGCCATGTTGGTACATTTATTTTATCATATTGCATGCACTTGCATACTCAATTTGGCAAACAATACCTTCCTTGATGAAACAAAAACCTAAAGTTGCATATTTTTGAGTTTTGACCCTATTCTGTTACAGGGGAATTTCGGGTATTTCACAATGAGTTTTTTTCATTTTTCCTTGCTTGTCACATAGAAAACTTGATTTTGAGGGGGGTTTTTTTTTTTTTGTGTTTTTCCAGAAAACATCATCTTGGTCCTCAAAAATCCATATTTTTCCAAAAAATCCTTGCTGCCAGATTTTGCAAATTTTTAGTATAAATGTAGTTGGTACTATTCATCGACTTTTTTTTGAAAATCGTCACGACCGATCCGAAACTTCCGAAGGTCTTGTTGGTGAATTTTAAGATTGCATTTTCAATTTAGGCAATTTAAAAACCTCCCAAAGCCCTATTTCCAAAACTTGGGCAGTAGCTCGGATTCGTTTTTTTTCCTCTTGACCTGATTTTCTTGGGGGCATTCTGGGCATTTTGCAATGCATTTTTTTTGTTTCCGTCCGTGATTGGGGTAGGAAACTTGATTTTAGTTGGGGTTTCTTCTTTGAGTTTTTCCAAAAAAGTCCGTTTAGATGCCCGTTTTTACTCTCAGTTGCAACAATGGTGAGTTGTCCTCGTCGGGCCACCACGACATCATTTTTGTTTTTGACCTTTCTCCCCCGTCCGGACTCTAAATTGAGTAAAAAAAAATTTGAACTTGACTAATTTGTCGTTGTCTTTCTAGTGGTGTGCTCGATAGCACCTGAATCTACTTTTTGCAAAATAACCATTTTGCCCCTAGATTCTTTTTGTCCGTTTTTGAAACGACACTTCTGCATTTGTTTCCTTTGGGTTCCGTGACCTCATTGAGGGTCACATTGGTGTCTTAGAGACGCATTGTATCTCTAGAGACTATTGTTTCACCTTTCGCTTCCGCATTTCGGATCCATTATCGGGTCATCTTTTGGTCATCATTGATGCACCGGGTTTATAAAACTTGGGCCGTCACAGGTCATCTGGTATTGAAAATTAATCGGATCTAACATTCCTTACTGAAAATCGATCAGATCTATCTTTCCTCATTGAAAATCGATTAGATCTAACCTTCCTTACGTAAAAATCAATCAGATCTAACCTTCCTTGCTGAAAATGAATCAGATCTCACCTTCCTCACTAGAAATCGATTAGATCAAACCTTTCATACGTGAAAATCGATCGGATCTCCTTGTCGTTCCTACAAATGGCACCAAATGAATGTACCACAAATTGTTCTTTATTTTCAAAAAGGAATTTCAATACACTTCACTTAATAATCCTTTATTTTCTCTCTTTAGATTCTATTTATAGAAGCATACATTTGTCCTAAGAACCTCTCTCAAAACCTCTGAGCTGGGCCAATCTTTTCGGGCCGTCATGAAAGGAGGATTATCTCAACACCATGCGGAGGCTGAACCTGCAGGTGGTCTAAATGAGCTTTGGGCCTGTTGGGCCGTTCTTCGGGTGGACTGATGACCCTTCCAAGCTCTAGGTCCAACAAATCAGTCCATATGTGGCCTGGTTCATTTTCGGTACCCTCAGGTGCCTTCTTCTTCAGGGTCCATGGATTTCATCTGTTTAAGAAGTGCCCCAGCATCCTCTTCCTTGAAACAGAACAACCTAAGAGATTTCCTAGTGTTTACTCTCGAAACCAATACGAATTCTTACGAAGAATTGCTAAGAGCGTACACGGGCACGCCGCCCAACCGCTCTTCAATAGCCTACGTTGACAAGGCACCTCTACCCGCAGGTCCAGCCCCATTTTTTCAACAAGACAAACCCATACTGGGCTTCTACCAAAAGAACCAGACCCTAAGCTGATCTTGATTCAATTGTTTGTTTTGCGTGGTGTTGGAGGTTGGAGAGGGTGGATTCGAGATGGGTTTTGAGAGAATATGGATTAGATTTGGGGCCGAAGAGAGGGATGTTGAAGAGTATATGTGGTGGTGGTGGTTGTGGAGAGAACTATAGCAGTGGTTTTGGAAATTTGTTAAGGCTTGTTGAAGGTTGAATTGGGGGAATTTGGGGTTGCGATGAAAATGATTCACGTTGTTTGGATTTCAAAAAATTCAAAATTTTCTCGGAAAAATAGGAAAGATGAGAAAGAAAGAAATAGGTTATACTCAAAAATTGATGGACAATACCGAACTTAATTTAATACTAATTTTAAATACATATTATAATTTGATTGAATCACGCACTCAAGTTGGATGAACTCGTTTATCCTAGATTAAACAAGTATTGTCCATATTTTAGTTGGTACGAGTATTTCCGTTCGAAAGATATTGCATTATAGAATATAGTAGTCCAAGACAATGCTTCACAATGAATCCTACCCCATCCTGCAATAATAATGCAACCGGTTATATTTGTCAGGGCATGTCATAACTCACAACCTATCTTCTTTTTGGAAACAGTAATAAATAGAGTGTGTGTATATATATATTTGCATCTTTAAATTTTCATTTGGGCCCAGTCATTGTTGTCAACCACTTACGTTTGTGGTGGGTCCTCAGCCATTAAAATCACATTCTGTCAAGTAAATGGAGGTGGAGGGAGAACCCATGGTTGACTGAACTGCCCTACACCCCCATTTTTTATTTTTATTTTTATTTTTTAAATTTTTTTTCTGGCAAAGCCAAACTGCACTAGTGATTAAATATTTTGTATGATTATATAATATCACCAGGGAAACAATGGGTCTGTTTGTCTTAATTTTTTGAAAGATAATTCTAAAAAATTTAGAAAAAAAAAAATTTGAAGATGTGAAATAAAAGACAAGTTCTTTAAAAATAGATTTCTTTTTTTAATTAAATTTTGAAAAGACAGTTTTTAAAAATTAAATAAGTTATTTAGGAGAATAATTATTTTATGTTTTAGTCTTAAAATTGTACAAAAACTTATTTGGTTGTTAATTTTTAAAAACTGTTTTTAAAAATACAATTAGAGTACAAACTATTTTCAAATAATTTTATTTTTATAGTTATGTAGAAACAACATTTTATTTTATAAGTTATTGAAAATTAATTTTAGACAATGGAATTAAACATAGGAGTTTTTGCAGAATTTTTTAACCACGTTTGTCCACAAAAGGTATCTACTAATAAGCTGAATTAGATGACTGGTTGAAAAAGTAGTACTAGTAAGTCCATAGAGAGAGCTCTCTCTCTTCAATGCTACTAATTGTACCAAGAAGAGGAAAGTTTGGGGAAGGTTGTGCGCAGACACTGCCCCCCTTTTCCAAACACAAACAACACACCCAAAATACCCCCCGCCTGCACAAGACACAGCGACCACACTCAGACAACGGACACCACGCGCACACACACATTGCCTTCTGAATCCAATACTACTTCCTCTGTCTAAGCTTAGACCTCCCTTTGAACCCATATATCTCATCATACTTGAAGTACATATTTTGGGTTCTTTTTACTTTTTGTTCACTGCAAATCAATCTTCTTCACTCTCTTTTTGTACCTACGAAATGGCGAAAACCCATTCGAAGTGCAGAGAGTGCGATCTGTGTTTGGGCTTAAACATGGGTTTCGTTTGAACCTTTTAATTTGTTCTCCACTTGGATTGCTTTTCTGGGTGTTACACACACACACATACTCTGCTTTTTCTTCTGGTGTAGTGAAGGAGGTGGTGGTGGTGTTGGTGGGTATGAACAGTACGAGTATGGTGGCGGCGACATCAATGGCCGCAGGGATGAGGTCTTCACAGTCTCCGTTCACGGTGTCGCAGTGGCAGGAGTTGGAGCATCAAGCACTCATCTTTAAGTATCTAATGGCTGGACTCCCTGTCCCACCTGATCTCGTACTCCCCATTCAGAAGAGCTTCGAATCTGTGTCTGCTAGATTCTTTCACCATCCCACCAGTAAGCCACCATTCATCACTCTTAATTTCTCTCTCTCTCTCTCTCTCAGATTGATGCTGTTCTTGTGTGTATGTGTTGTTTTTGTTAGATCTTGTTTACTACTGTTCTCTTTCACTTCTGTTGATAAAGTGTTTGGAGCTTTTCGCATGTTCACCTTCTGTATACTATTAAACAATTATGTGTACATTATTTGACCTCCAAAGTATAATTAGTGGTTTTCCCTTTTGTTACTGTGTTTTATCAGTATTGGGGTTTTTTTGTTAGGTCTCATTTTTTTTATTCTATTAAATCATTTTTCAGAGGCAAAATATTGATATTTACCTTATTCTCTGTCCTCTGATATATTCCTTGTATAAATTTATTTTCTATTTATAATAGAAAAACTGAATCTTTGTGTTCAATTGACTCTGTTAATTGTTCTTATCATAAGATTTTCCTGATGGGCTTTAATCTAAGGGTTTTTTTTTTTTTTTTTGGGGTTTCATTGTGGTGTTGGTGATTAGCACTTCAGTTTGGTAAAATGTGATATATATCTTATATATACAATATGATTTTGCAGTGGGTTATTGTTCTTTTTATGGGAAGAAGGTGGATCCGGAGCCGGGTAGATGCAGGAGGACCGATGGCAAGAAGTGGAGGTGCTCCAAGGATGCATACCCGGACTCCAAGTACTGCGAGCGGCACATGCACCGTGGCCGCAACCGTTCAAGAAAGCCTGTGGAATCACAAACTGTCTCACAGTCCTCATCCTCTACACTCACATCTCTGACTGTCACCGGAAGCAATGGCAGTGGTGCTGGAACTGGAAGCTTCGCGAACCTTCCGCTGCACGCCTTTAGTGACCCCCAAGGCCCAGGGTCTGGAAGCAACCAATCTCAGTTCCAACTGGAGCCCATTCCCTATGGGATCCCTCACAAAGATTACAGGTATTGCATGTTACACTTTAGTAATTGACCTTCTCGAATTTTGTCTCAACTACTTGGTTCATTTTTAGGTAATTCATTGGTTGGAATACTTTAGATGTTGTTTGTACCTGTCACGAAACATATTTTATGTTGGCCCCATAAATGAAATTGTGTGGTAGGAGTGTAAGTGAAGGATTTCTTCCATTTGGGGTATCGAATATCTTGCTTGAACTTTTTTAATTTTCTGCAAGGTTCAGGGTTCTGGGCCCTGATGTCCATTACAAATTTAGGATGGTGTCAATTTGGTTGTGTCTGTGCAGAGTGTGTTAGTTTTTGACATTGTTCTTTTTGGTCTGCCTCTTTGCTTTTCTGTTTTCTCCATGAAATTCGTTGCGGAGATCTGACAACCATTTGAAAATGCCCCGACTCCTCAACATACTAATTAGTTGGAGATTATTGTTCCTCAGCCTCTGTGGAGATGGAAAGGGTAGATCTAGTTGTTTTGCAGATTATTTATGTTTAAAGACTGTCTGCAATCTTTAGTAGAAAGGAAAGTGATGGCTGCTTTAAAAAATATCATGGTATTGAATATAAAAGTGTTGTAAGCTTTGAAAAGAAACCACGGTAAATGGCAGCAATAACTCTTAACTATCTTAGGGTAGCGAAATTCCTTCTGCATAAGTAGGGACCTCTAAAAGTTTCTATCTATCTATTCAAGTGTTGCTGCGACATTATATATTCCTTTTATGGGGTTCAATATTTTTGTTCTTCTTTGGAAACATATAAACTCCAGTTTTCACACTAAAAACACTCTTGAGAAGAAAAAAGGCATAACATTATTAATTAGATTTACCCCCCAAAAAATATATTAATTAGTGGATTCTTCCGTTTATGGCAGATTTCTATTCTTTTAATTCGTAACCCCTCCCGTTACCCTTTTGTTGAAGTCCTTCGACTGAAGTTTGTCTTTAGTTGCATGAGATTGTTCTGCTGACTTGAAAATGCTGGTTATGTATATTAACTGATTCGTGTTGCCCTATGACTGAAATTTGAATGACCTGATATATGTTACTGTTGTGAACTACGAGCTCTTAAATGTGGATGTAGTTCAATTTTTTTTGACACCTATGGCTACTCCATCTTCAATCTCTTCTTTCTATCGATTTTTATATGTTTCGAGTATGATCATACATCTATACGCTGCTGCACAGTGTTCGCGTAATCCAGATATTCTTGTTTGGATCCAAGAATTTCTCGGCGGCTCCTTTTCTGGAGTCTGATATTAGAATTTAAGAGCAGGGTTCTTCCATTGCTAATCTTTGAGCCTCTTGTTCTCCCCCCAACCCGCACATTTCCGCACTTAATATTTGAGTTAATTGTAAGCTTGGTTAGTCAATAGGTATAGCTTGATCATGGTTGGTGATGCAATCTTGTAAGGAGAAAATATTTGCTAATCTTTAAGGACATGTGGTTTGTAATAGCAAAGAATGGAAAAAGCGAATTCATGTGGCTGATATAATGATGACAATGACAGTGACTTTATGTTCAGAACCAAAGAGAACTGATAAGAAAATATTACCTTAGAATGATGCAAAGACCTTTCCTATATGCTGGTTCATCTATTTTGAGCACATAAACCGATCAAGGCTGGCCTCATTCATCCTTTTTCATGCAGCACTGAAAAAGGGGATATTTGACATGGTGGGATAATGCTAGACCCCTCTACATTCTATATATTATATTTCAACACACAATGTGGAGGCAGTACATTAAGATTTGTAGAAATGTGGTCATATATTGGAACCATAGCGTATATAGGATATTATATAATGTGCCCTTATTTTAAGCAATATTACAAAATTAATTGAAATGTTGTAAAAACATAATGAACTGATGTAATTTTAATGGGATGGCGGATGCCTTGTGCATGTGTATCTATATGTGTGTATATATCCTACAAACATAACTTTCAAAGTGTGATATGATTACCTTATCATACATGTGGCGTTCTGCTGATCTGTGTAACATGCAGGTATATCCATGGACTTAAATCTGAGGTGGGCGAGCATAGTTTCTTGTCAGAAGCTTCAGGAATCAATAGGGATCTGCAAATGGATTCATCTGTAGACAATACATGGCCTCTAATGCCATCTCGAGTCTCAACCTTCCCTGCATCAAGAGCAAGTAACAACTCCATTTTGCAGACTGACTATCCTCAGCATTCGTTTTTCATCAACGAATTTGCCTCAGAACCTGTCAAACAAGAGGGTCAGTCTCTTCGACCCTTCTTTGATGAATGGCCCAGAACCAGGGACACTTGGTCTGGCCTTGAAGATGAGCGATCCAACCAGACCTCATTCTCCACAACCCAGCTCTCAATTTCCATCCCAATGGCTTCATCTGACTTTTCCGCAGCAAGTTCCCGATCTCCGCAAGGTTAGTTTCAGATTTAGAGAATATTTTTAGCTAATCTCCATCTTTCAGCTGGATCCAATTTCTTGAAATTGTGGTGTATAGATAATTGAACGAAGCATGGTTTCCCGGGGGTATCTGGGTGAAGGCTATATTCTGGAAGGCCCGATCAAGTTCTAGCTGGTTGACTTGTGTGCTCGAGGAAGATTCCCCGACTCGTTCCCATTAGATATCTCCATTAGTTGTGGGTTTTATGCATGAATGTTTGTCTGAAATTGCATTTGTAAGCTCAGATCTTATTAGGTAGGAAATAAAACATACTCTTTGACAGTTTGTCTGAGAATCGAGAACCTTGTGTTTGTAACGCAATGCAAGTGGAACAGGCTTGGGTTTGATGGAATTTGCTTCCAGTTAAATTGAATAAAGTTACTTCTACTTTGTTTGCCCTTGCTTTGTTAGAATTTTGGGTAACAAACAATATGAAAAGTTGTTGCCGGCAATTCAATTTCTTTGGAAACAAAAATTGTTCTTCTTTAGAATACTTTTGCAGTGAAATTTTGTATGCAAGGACTGATTGAGCTATATTGATCTCCAAAATGATTCCATTATATATGATTTGTGTGTGTGTGTGTGTTAATGTGGCGTGAGAGGAGTTTATTAATTTTTATTTTTCATTTTTTGGTGTTTGATTGAGATCCCCAGTTTTTTTTTTCTTTTTCTTTTGGTGTTTGGTTTCATAAAATGTTTTTAAACCGAAAGCCGAGCTCTTTTGAAAATCAAACTCGTTTTCTGAGTTAAATGATTCCATTATATATGATTTGTGTGTGTGTGTGTTAGTGTGGCGTGAGAGGAGTTTATTAATTTTTATTTTTCATTTTTTGGTGTTTGATTGAGATCCCCAGTTTTTTTTCTTTTCTTTTTCTTTTGGTGTTTGGTTTCATAAAATGTTTTTAAACCGAAAGCCGAGCTCTTTTGGTGTTTGGTTTCATAAAATGTTTTTAAACCGAAAGCCGAGCTCTTTTGAAAATCAAACTTGCTTATATCTAGTGGTACTTTCTCTGAGTTACGCGTCGCGGAAGCCGTTAGTTGATTTAGTTGTGATTAAATTTCTAAATAACCTAGATGAGATTATTAGGTCAACTTACTCAATTTTTCTGATTGCTTAATTTATCCAAGCAATATGACCAATTAAACATCCACAATCACAAAGATAAATCCTGAAAAGTAAAGCACGTAAAGTTAAAATATAACACTAGGATTTTAGCATGGAAACCAATTGGAAAACCTCGATGATTTTTGCACTGTCCTGAGCGTAAATGATCCACTATATATGACGCAAAGTACACTGAACTTTAACTCAAGTTCACACTCCTTCGTTCTACCAAGACCCAACCTGCTGAATGTCTTTTGACTTTGCAACTTCTTGTCCAATTGCTCTTGACTTCATACTTATGTCTCGAATTTTGTAGAAGGATTGTTAGTAGATCAACAACACTCCGCAAGTGTAATATAGAATTCCTCTTATTGAATTTGAATTTGATGTAGAAGAAATAGATCTGTTTTTCGGAATTTCTGAATCTTTAATTATACTCCAATTCCGATGAGATGGAGAACAACACTACTAAATCATTCGTGTATATATGTGTGTGTTCTCAAAATAAAAACAGAAAAATCATATTTGATTTTTTGAAAAATATATCTCAAAATACTCTCTCAAAATAATGAAATTGTGTTCCAAAAAGCCATACCTCAATGTTAAATAAAAGAGAGATTATATAGAAGTTAGGAAGACCTAGAGATACTTGGAAACCAAGTCAAATTCGTGCATAGGTTTCTAGAAGGAAGTCTACTCACAAAAAGAATCAAAATAAACCAGGAAGATAAGTTACCAAAATAGATCTGAAGACCTTGAATCAGTTCAGGGTGGTTAAACTGGTTCAGGGTGGTTGAACCGGTTCAAGTTGACTAGTACATTTTTGAAGAAAACAATCTAAACAATATGTGACACTTAAACCGGTTCAGGGTAATTGAATTGGTTCAAGTTGGCTAGACTTAAATTCTACCAAAAAGTCTCAAAAGTTGAACCTATTCCAAGATTCTTGAACCAGTTCAAGTTAGGCAGAATGTAAAATATTCTTTAAAACTTGGGTGTCGAACTTCCCAAACTTCCAAAGTGTTTTTACACACTCACATACTTTTCTAAAGCATTATTCTCATCATCCCGAAGTATATTAAAACATGAACACTTGAACTTCTTCAAATTCGCTTCTCATCTTGAATCTTGAAATTTTGAACCAAAATTTTACAACTCGATAAACTCGTTTTGACAATGAAATTAGCCAATTACAAAATATATATATCTCAATCTCCCCCTTTAGCAATTTCGTGACAAAACCCTAAAAACAACACGTAATCTACCTAACCAAAAAAAAAAAACAACAAATTACAATGATTTTCAAAAATAAATAAAAGCGTAACTTTTCTTGAATCACATAAAGCTTCAACACTTGTAGCATTTATCAACTCAACAAAAGTATAGGCAACGACCCAAATCCGGATGTCCAAATCGCTATATGGGTCCCTACCTAGATTCAAGAGCACACAAGGGCAAAATTGTCATTTCAAGGCAAATATGGGGAAGAGTTGACTATAAGTATTTAAATGAGGCTCTCTAATATTACATTAGCCAATTAAATCCATTCCATAAGTTTTCAATGGCCATAAGTATAGTTTCCCTCATTTACTCACTCTCAGGTTGGAGAATTCTTCGACACATCTTCATTAAAACAATAATAATTCTCGGTGGGATTGGAATTTGAGGATAATATTGATATCATTGTAAAGCTGACTTCAAGACGGTCAGTTTAAACTTAAGAATAACCCAATTTGGGTTTGAAATGAGGGAGTTATGGCCGTTTGAAGTTTGGGCTAACAAACAGCGAGCAGGTAAGAGTGCTCGATGGATCGATCGAGCCTAATTCAACCAATCAAGTCCAAGCTCGATCGATCAAGTCCAAGCTTGAACAGTGGGGCTAAGAGCATGAAATTTGAGGTTTTTCTCAATTTTTCTAAGTATGGGAAGCATTGATCGATCGAGCGGGGACTCGATTGATCGAGTTGAACCTTGAAAATGGCCATTGACCTCCAATGAAGCCTTGGTTAGTTCCTACATTGAGATTAAGACAATTGACACCTCCATACATTTAGAATCTATCCCAAAGCAATTATAAAAACATAAATACACCCCCAAAACATCATCCATACATTATAATGGTTCAAAATTCATCACTAAATTGCATATCGTCCCAAAGTTTTAAGGTAAGAACATAGTTTTTATCCTCATCACTTACATGCCCAAAATATGCCAAGAGTAATTCAAAAAGGTTATGGTTACACGATTAAGGCCCCTAAGGCCATAATTATAATGTTTTACACAAAAATAACCGAGCTATAGTCATTATACAAAAATGGTTGATATCACTAGGCATTAAATACAAAAATTTACAAAAGATGATTTCTGTCGACTTCAACTATACTTGTGGTGGAACGTCATCACCACATCCTTCTCATGACCTGAAAAATGTTAAGGGAAGGGGTGAGTACGGAGGCTCAGTAGGAGATGCCTAAGACGCCAACTTTGGATTCTCTTGAGCCACATAGCACATAATTGGAATAAAAGAGAACTGGGATCATATATTGGGGTTTTCAAGGCATTTAATCAAAAAATTAAACTCATTAATGGCATTTATACATCATATCACCATTGTGCATGAAAATGCATTAAAATACACCACATTCCCAAACTTAGTCTTTACCGACTCTAAGTCACATCTAAAATTGCTAACCAACTTTACCGAGAGCAAGATTGATTAACTATCCTTAGTGTGATACCCCTCGATTCTACAGCCACAGGTGATAAGGTCCGAGCACAGAATCGAGGAATACCGAACAATTAAAGTATATAAACAAACACATAATAAAAATGAATTAAGAATAAATAATTAACTGAAACGAAACTAAATATAATCCTCAAATTAATAAATAAATAATCCTCCAATGAAATTTAACTCCTCTGATACCAGTAACCATCTAGATTACAATTTGGGAATCCATTATGTGGACTCCTAATAAGATCAAAACTAAAACTGAAGTAAAAGTCCAATCACTTAAATAAATGAAGAAATCCTACATAGATGAGTGATGAAGACCGTCTTTGCTCAACACGAACAACCTCTAAGCCTAGAGCTGACAAACTCCTAAAAAATAATGGTGAGTCAGGCCGACAGACAAGTTCTACTCTACCACAGTCCAAATAGAGACCTAATACACATATACATCTTAATCTATCTAACAATATCTACATAGTCCGTATATATATATATATACACACACACACACACACACACACACACACACTCAATAAGGGTTCTTGTAATGACCCGGTCATTTTCATTCCTTTCCTTTTCTCAGATTTTCACGGATATTTTTTTTCCATTGATCTTTCCTTTCTGAGTTCGGTTTCTCACCACTTAATGTCATCTTGAGTGTTCGGGGATGGTTTCCGAGACTCTTTTTCCATGGATTGACGATTTCCTTTGAGGGCCGAGTCATTTTCACATTTTCACTTTTGTGACACTATTCACCTTTCGTCTTTTTCTCGGTTGTCACTTTGTTGGCATAACCTCACTTTTCGTTTTCGGATTTGATTCTGGTTTTGTATGGATCCACGATATTTAAATTTCATACTATGTGTATTTTCACTTTTGTAGAAAAGCATGCTAAGTGCTTACTTTTCTTGTAAAGGGTATAGACGCATAACCTTTTTGTAATATTCTAAACTTTTGGAATTTTTGTGTAATTACTGTAAAGTAATTATTTTTCGTCTTAGGGACCATTTTGTAATTTAATTTGGAAGAAATTTTTAAAAAGGACCTTTTTGCAATTTTTGGAAAGTGTAACAAGTGTCACACTCTCATGGAGCCACTTGTTGGCATTAAGGTGGAGGGACTTGGAGGCATCATCTTGTGACATTTGGAGGGTGGAGATTCACCCACTTGTTGGCCTAAGATTGGTGCACTTGTTGGCTTGGATGGTTGACAAGTGTAGGCTTGGGATTAAGTCTTGCAAATTACTTTTGGGCCACTTTGGGATTATGGTTTTAAAGAAGGGTTTTTGAGCAATTGACCAAACTAGTGTGTGTTGAACATAGTGTAAGAGCACATAGTGAGTGGAGGATTTCTATTTCCTCCACTCGCACATTTTCACATTATTTCATTCCTTCCTCACCAAAAACCCTAGTCTCCATGGATGAAGCTTGAAACCTTTGGCCTTGACCTTGATTTTTGATGGCCTTCCACTCACCTTAGACCATGAAGCTTGGAACACTTTTTGTTCCCCTCATCCTCCTCTACATAACTCTTGAAGGGTTTGCCATT